GGGGAAAGCCATTACAGACAACCTCCATTGAGGAAATGAGACTGGAGGAAAACAGACAAGGTACTAGGGCTGCCTATAATTGTTTATTTCTTTAAGCGGCTCAATATACTTTACATCAAAAGCCACAAGCCACATTAAAGTAAAATTTTGGTTGAGATTTCAAGTGCACAAAAATTAAAGTCATTAAACAGAGCTTTCCTTTCCTTTGCGGGCCATGAAATAAGTCACACTTGCATACCAGGGAGCGTAGGTGCTTCCTTCCACTCATTGACAGTATGGCAGGAAGCGCTTGCACAACAGAGCTACTAAATATCTTATTTGCATTTTGTGAACATCTCTCATGAGCAACCTTTCAGACGGAACAGCCTCACCTGCCCCAAACTACAGGGCTGAGGCGAGAAGAATCTGTCAGGTCATGGTGACAATGAATGAACAGCAGCACTTTTCCACGAACATCCCACAACATCATTATAGCTTGTGGAGAACACCAGTAGAAGTCAGTCCTAGAGTATGTACAGCATATTACCACCTAAGAAGCTCTGTCCTGGGACATGGGATGGGGCCTAAGACAGTCTACAGGTTTCTGGAGTAATATAGTCATCAACACCTGTGGTTCAAGTTTGGCAAGAGCTGCCTGACTAGTTTTAGATTTGATTTATTTGGTTCAATGGGTTATTTAATAAAATCTGTGGCCAACTTGACCTTCAAATTATGTCTCTGTCTTCATATGTGGCTTGGCACTTGGCAATGAATGTTCCTTCTCAAGCAGAACTATATAGCATCACTAGTTTACAATATTGTATTAAGAGTAATGTATCATATATGCTTAAACAGTGGACATTTTAAGTTGCTCTCCCAACCACAGTACATATATTGTTTCACAAAACTCCATAGGACAGGGATGTGGTTTGAAGCTACTACACTGAAACAGAAAGCTATGGAAAAGTTGTATATTTTTCTGGAACTGATATTATTCCATGCAGCATTTCATAACCTGGTTAGAAACAGATCAATTCAAGAACTATTTAAAACCGTTCTTTCAGAGGAAACCAAAACCTTTAAAAGTCATGTGGCTAAAACACTTATTTAATTTAGCAGCATTCAGAACAGCAATTATTAGTCTTTAAGTGGCCGGCGGTTTCTTTTTTAAATTGATTTGTGTGATCTTTTCACAAAAGCAACAGCAGAACTGCAGCTGTTCCCCTTGTGCCTAAAGTTCTTAAGTTGTTTAGGTTACAAAAACACCCACATAAAACATTTAAATGGGATGTATGCAGAATAAAGGTAAAATTGTAAGTAGGAGCAATTAGCATTAGTCAGAATTGGTAACTGTGTCCAGTTACAAACAATGTGTCCAAGCTAGTGAGGGCTTAGCACCCTTGTGCTAACACCAAAATGTTTACAAATAGAGTAGAAGGTACTCAGTGCTTTGAATGATTGGGCCAAATCAGACTGGAAAATGGGATGGAGTTGTGTTTTTTTGTTGGGTTTGTTTTTTGTTTTTTTTACACAATAAACATCCTTAATCCTGCAAGAGTGTTGAGGCTTCATTCTTACAGAACAATTAGGAAATTAGTGTTGTTATTTTAGCAAGCACAAATTATTACACTTGAGATAATTACAAGGACATGCCATCATTAAAGCCATAGCTGCAAGCATCAATTTTCATGTTTGATTTTCGCTTCTAAAAGCTAAATGCCTCCCCGCTTCACCCCCTGAAAAAAAAAGAAAATGAGGATTTGAAGCCTACTCCATCAGGTGTTGAGCATGGCTAAGACACTGGAACCCAGAATGAGAGCGCGTTGAAAATTTTCCAACAAAACAGATTTGCGTGGGGAAATGCCGATCCACCGAAAATGAAATGGGGCATAGAAGCACGTCAATTTGGACGAACTTCCAACAGGACTCTGCCTGCCGGCTGCCCATGACAAACCACCTAGTCTCCTGCCAGTTCATCTGCAAGACTATTGGGAAGAAAGGGCCTTCCACCATTTGCCGCTCTAGCGTAGCTTTGCCCTGTGGACTGCTTTGGAGATCCCTTCGAGTCCTGGGAGCTCTGGGGCTCCTGGTACTGATGGCAGGAGTGGCTGGGGTTCTGCTGCAGGAGTAAGAAGCCCTGGCTCCAGCTTCATGCCACAGAGCTGGGAATGTGGAAAACTTAATGGTTTCCAAGATCTCTGTCAGACCTGGAAACGCTTGAAGCCGTGGCTAGGTAGAAAGCCTCAGAGTACCAGCTCCCCTGCTCAATGTCATTTTGACATTTTTATTTTAGTTATTCTGAAATGAACCCCAGTTCCCCACACCCTGGTTTCCCAACAGCAGGAACTTTTGAAATGTATGCTTTTCATTCCAAATGCAATTTTTGTCTTCAGAATTTCCCTCAGAAAGTTGGATTTTTGACCAGCCTTCTCCAGAAGTCAGACGAAGCAAACCTCTTGCAGTGAAAAAAAAAAATAGCCTTGAGTTGCTTTACTGTGTTGCTATAGACAGAGTGCACATCTGACGATTATGAGGCTTGCTACAGGATTTGGTTATTATTTATACGGTATTATGGTAGTGCCATTCAGTTTGTACAGCCTCTGGTACGTAGCAAGAGAAAGCTCTGGTCTCAGAAAGCTGACAGCCTGAACAGACACGAGGCAAGGACTCTTCATACCCTGTTACAGATGGGGAACTGAGGTGCAGGGAAATTAAGTAACATTCCTGAGTTCACATAGGACAGCTGTTGCAGAGCTGGGAAACCAACTGCAATCTGTTTATTGCCTTCACCAAATGACCATTCTTCCTCACCCTTGAAGTGGAATGGGAAGGAAAAACTAAGCTTTCTATAAAGGTTTCCACTCTCATTCCCTCCCAAAAAAGACATCCTTTCACCCCACAAACACCTCCTTTAAGCATGAATGGAGGAGATCTATTTTTCAGTAAACACACCAATCCAGAGAATGGTAATTTGTAAAAGTACCACTGTAGTTTGCAATCCAAACATAGGCCTACAATCACTGCTAACCAGGCCTCAATTACAGTAGAAGTGTTTCCAATCACTCTTCTAGCTTGCTGGATGGCTCTGCCAAGAACATCAGTTTTTTACGACTTAGAAATATGCTACACAATAGTATGTTATTTACTTGTAAGAAAACCTGAAATTCTTTATTTTGGTTGTTCAGTGATTTCAGGTTATAGGTTCATGACTGTGATGCTCATTCCAAAACCTTCTTTAGGGAGGCCTAAAAAAAAGGAAGAAAAGAAACAAAATACTGGGAGTAGGGATGCGTCTAGGAAAAAAAACTCCAGGATACAGTCATAAAAATGTAAATCTTCACGAGTTCCACTTAGTCGTGGCAGCCTCAATATTCTTCCTCTAAAACTTGCACCAAATCAGCTGGTGGCCCTTGCCAAGTGGGTCTACTGTGTTAAGCAGATTGAATTTTATTAGTTGATGTTAAGATTCATGAACCAAAAAGATGACAAAGCCAGAAGGGAAATACAGAGCACCCGAGTGAGGGACTAACATAAGAGGGATGGGGGTAAGGAGGGGAACACAACTAGGTTACAGAAAATACAGTGTTCGCCAACTAACTTCTGTGCATATGAAAGTCAAGGCAGTCTGCTATACAGGTACTCCTCACTTAACGACCGACCTGTTTAACGACTGCGCGGACTTACAACCAGCGAGAACTGGTCGTAAGTACGAGAACTTTGGTCGTGGAAACGGCAGCGCGGCGTCTCAAGCCAAGGCACGCAGTATCAAAGGGCGGCTCCTCGCTTATCGACCAATTTGCTTAACGACCTAGTCGCAGGAACGGAACTCGGTCGTTAAGTGAGGAGTGCCTGTATTAGCAATCAAGTACCTGATTCATAGATTTTATGGCCAGAAGGGACTGCCGTGATCATCCAGTCTGATCATCAGTGTAATACAGGCCCTACATCTTCCCTGAATTAATTTCTGTTTTCAGTCCAATAATAGTGGTTGAACTATAATTTGGAATCAGAGTCTCATAGGTTGGAAGGGCCTTTATTGCTAGTTTAGTCCAAACCTCTGCAGAGCTGCAGGATTTTCCGTTCCTAACCAGACAGATACTTATCCAGTCTTTTGCTGAAAACCTCCAATGAAGTTTTCACATCTCTAGCTAGACTGCTTGTTCCTTTGCCCTACTGTTCCTACAGTGAGGAGGTTTTTTTATGAGTTAAGCTATATCTGCTATTGCTGTACTATGTCTCTTCTTGTGTCAAGAGAGAACACTATTTCTCCATCTTCTTCATGGCAGCCTTTCAAATATTTGAAAACTGTCATCATGATCCCCCCTCCACCATCTTCTCTTTTCCAAACTAAACACAACTAGTTCCTGCAACTTCTCCTCATATGGCTTGTTTTCCAATCCCTTTATCATCTTCATTGCTTGCTTTTGAATACTATTTTCTCTGCATCCTTCTTTCAAATGCAGTGCTAGTTTAAAAATGCAATTTAGAAAAACA